ACTAACTAGCTGGATGACCTCAGGCAAGTTACTTGTTTTCCTAATATATAAAATGAAGGTGTAATAGTACTAACTAGAGTTTTTGTGAGGATTAATTTATCAATGGATGTAACAGTGCTTGTCACAAAGTTTCAGTACTCAATTTTTAGCTACTGTTAGTAGTATCAAAGCCTGAGGCAGTGAGAAAAATGGTAAAATTAGTAGGAACTGGGAAGAGAGACTAGTATGCGTTGACAAGTAGTAGAATAACAGGTGCCACTGTTAAACTAAATCAGCATAAGAAGGTTGCTTCTGCTTAACACTTTGCTCTTCAGAGTGTGGTTTGTAGACCAACATCTCTGGCATCACCAGGAGCTTGTTAGAGATAGACTCAGACTTAGTCATGTTTTTCAACAAAATCCCCAGCAGATTTGGGGATGCAGCTTTATTTGGAGGGAGTGTGAGGTTGGCTGAAATATTTTTCAAGGAGTTCCAGCCTCAAATCAGTGACCATGGGGATCTGGTAGGAGGCCTTGTATTTTCAGCTGATTCTACTATTCTACTTCTTCCTCCTGCTCTTCCAAAATTTCTAACCCCCCTCTCCCTCAGAATCTTTTTTAAAAAGTATTTTATTATGTTTTAAGTGAAGTTTATACAGCAAATTAGATTCCCATTCAACAATTCATACACAGATTGTTCCATGGCATTGGTTACAGTCCCCACAATGTGTCAGCACTCTCACCGTTTCTACTCTGCCTGCCCCGTTTCCATCCATCCAGTTTCCTTGCCCCTCCTTGCTTTCTCATCTTTGCTTTTGGGTAAATGTTGACCATTTGGTCTCGTATAGTTGATTGTTTAAAGGAGCGCATTCCTCATGAGTGTTATTCTTTATTTTGTAGGCCAATCTATTATTTGGCTGAAAGGTGACTTCCAGGAGTGGCTTCACTTACAGGTTAAAAGGGTATCTTTGGGCAGTAGTCTTGGGGGTTCCTCTACCCTCCAGCAGTCCAGTAAGTCTGGTCTTTTTTTTATGAATTTGAGTTAGTTCTACATTTTTCTCCCATTCTATCTGGGACCATAAATTGTGTCCCTGGTCAGAATGGTTGGTAGTGGTAGCCAGGCACCGTCTAGTTCTTCTGGTCTTAGGCGAGAAGAGGCTGTGGTTCATGTGGGCCATTAGTCCCATAGACTAATTTCTTCCTTGTCTTTGGTTTCCTTCACTCTCCTTCGTTCCAGATGGGAAGGGACCAATAGTTGTATCTTAGATGGCCACTTGTAGGCTTTTAAGACCCTAGACACTACTCAGCAAACTAGGATGTAGAACATTACGAATTAAGTTATGACAATTGACCTAGTTGTCCCACTAGACTATGGTCCTGAGCCTTCAAACCCAGTAAATCGGTCTCAAAAGGTGTTTAGATATGTCTAGGAAATATCCATAACTGTGCAGCACATACAAACGTGTATACATATGCCCACAAATATACCTATATATGTATGCTCATGTACTCCCATATGCCTTCCCATGCCCATGTTGCATACATACCTACGTATGTAACTACTCACATATCTTTTGTTACTACTGTTGCAAAAATTGTATACGTTATAGCATTTACCATAGTTGTCCTTTATTCTTGCGTACCTCTTGGTGTCTTCATTTACCTTGGTCAAGTTGTGCTGACTTCCTGATTACCTGACCTTTCAGCAGCATTGGACACTGTCATGGTTTGAATTATGTCCCCCCAAAAATGTGTGTATCAGTTTGGCTGGACCATGATTCCTGGTATTGTGTGATATTCCTATATGTTGTAAATCCTGCCTCTATGATGTCAGTGAGGGAGGATGGGTGGCAGTTGTGTTAGTAAGACAGAACTCAGTCTACAAGATTGGATTGTGTCCTGAGGCTGTCTCTTGAGATATAGAGAAGAGAAGTGAGCAGAGAGAGACAGGGGGACCTCATACCACCAAGAAAGCAGTGCCGGTAACAGAGCGTGTCCTTTGGACCTGGGGTCCCTGTGCAGAGAAGCTCCTAGTCCAGGGGGACATTGATGAGAAGGCCGACAGAGAGAGAAAGCCTTCCCCTGGAGCTGATGCCCTGAATTTGGACTTTTAACCTACTTTACTGTGAAGAAATAAATTTCTCTTTGTTAAAACCATCCACTTGTGGTATTTCTGTTATAGCAGCACTAGATGACTAAGACAGCACCCCAGATTTACTGTGTCCAAAACAGACTCTTGATCTTTCAGAACTCACTATCTTCCCCTAAGCCTCTTGCAGTCTTTCTAGTTCTCCCAGTTGCTTTAGTCACAAACCTAGAAGTCATCCCAAATCTTCTTTTATCCTTACTTCTTATATCCCAATTTATCAGCCATTTCTGCAGTGTATTTCTGTATCAGGGTAGCAGAGGTGCCATAAAAAACAAGCCCCCAAATCTCAGTGACTTAACCATGAAAGAAATTTATTTTTGTTCACATGAAAGTTAAAAGATGTGTTCCCACATAGTGGCCGGTCTTCCATGTGGTCAGTTGGGGACCCAGGCTCTTTCCATAGTTTGGCTCTGCCCTCTTCTAGGCCCAGTGTTCTTTGCATTCCCTGGTGGGTGGAGCCAGCCAGCAGAGGATCACTTGTGGGAGGCTTTTAGGGCCAGACCTGAATGTCATGCATATCCCTCCCACACCTGTTGCCTTGACCAGAACTTAATTAACACAAGGCCATACTTACCTGGAAGACAGGCCGGCATGAATAGTTGCCGTGTGTTTAGAAATAAGAAGAAATGTGCTTGGTGACCCATTAGCTGGTCTGTGCCACATGTATAGTAAGGTCTACCTATAAACCTACAAATTGCCTGAATCTGACCATTTCTCAACACCTTTGGTGTTTTCTTAGTTCATGCCCCTTCATGTCACACCTGCACTGCTGCATGTCCTCTCTACTAGTCTCCTGCTTTTGTTCTTATATTCCAATCTCCACATGGCAACCAGAGTAATTTCTTTTAGAACGTGAATCAGATTCTTCTTACTTAATAACCTCTAGTAGCTTCCTGTTACACTTAGAGTAAAACCACACTCCTTATCTTACTGTGGCCTACCACATCGCCAGCTCATTCACGAGACCCCAGCCCTTCTTCTTGTCCTTTTAATGCTTCAAGCTTACTCCCCACTCAGGGCGTTTACACTTGCTGTGCCCTCTGTGTGGATATTCTCCCAAATCTCACTGTGGTTAGCTTCTTAATCATGTTTCTGCTTAAATGTTGTTTTGGTTATCTACTGCTATGTAACAAACCACCCCAAGGGTTAGTGGCCTCAAACAACCATTTTATTATTTCTTATGACTCTATGGGTTTATGGAGTTTGGCTGGGCTCAGCTGGGTGGCTCTTCTATTCTGTGTGATGTAGGCTGGGTTTGCTGGAACCACCGAGATGGCTCATTCATATGGCTGGCAATTGATGCTGCCTGCCAGCTGGGAACTCAGTGGAGCACCTATACATGGCCTTTCAATGTGGCTTAGCCATCACACAGTGTGGCAGTTGGATACCAAGAGGGGATGTCCCAAGAACAAGCATTCCAAAAGGATTAAGTAGAGGCCACCAATCCTCTTATAGTCTAGGCTCTGAACCAGCACAGCATCACTTCCACCACGTTATTTTGGCTGAGTAGTCGCAGAACCAGCTGAGATTCAGGAGGAGGGGAAATCGACTCCATCTCTCAGTGGGGAGAGTGACAAAGAATTTGTGGCCACCATTAATCTCAGAGGCCTTCCCTAAAATATCCAACATCACCTAATCTACCTGTCCCATTGTCCTGATTTATTTTCTTTATAGGACTTATCACTATCTGAAATTATATTATTTGCCAACTTATTCTAGAATATAAGCTTCTTGAAGAGGACCTGGCCTGGCTAGTTTCCTGGTATCCCTGTCACTTAAGATAGTGTCTGGTACACAGTAGTTATTTAGTAAATGTTGAGCAAGTGAATGTTGAACTTTTCCCCCAAACCATGTTCTCATTCTGAATTTCTCTTTTAAATTAATGATATTACCATCTTCATTGTCACTAGACTTGAAATCTTGGAGGCATGTTTGCCACCTTCCTTTTCCTTTCCTTCCTTGTGCAGTCACTTAGGTCTGTGGAATCAATCTTCAAAATGTGTCATGTGTCCAGGGTTCTCATTGCACACCCTTTCAGACCAACTACCACATCCTTTTTCTGCTTCATCCTCCTTGTTGGACTGTCTTTTTGTGCAGATTTTTCCTCTCATACGCATTCTGTACACTTAATACTTGTTTGATCTTTCTAAAATGAAATTCCTGTCCCCCTTTTTTTTTTTTAACACGTACAATTACAGTTTTATTATAAAGGAGACAAACCAGGACCAACATAAACAAGAGATGCACAGGGTGAGGTCTGGGAGGGTCTCCAATAAGAAAATTACTGGTCCCAGGGGATGCGTTACCCTCTGGTGAGTCAGTGTCTGTCACCAACAAGGAAGCTCACATGAGCTTCAGTGTCCAGAGTGTTTATTGGGGTTTCATTACACATTACTGTTGTTAGCTGCTGTCAAGTTGGCCCCAAACTCATGGCAGCTCTATGCACAGTGGAACATGGACTATTGTGATCTATGGTATTTTTAGTGGCTGATTTTGGAAGTCTGTCTCCAGGCCTTTTTTCTGAGCTCCCATCACTCTCTAAAGCTAGAGTGAGCAGATGAGTTTAGCCATAAGCCTTACTTTGGCATTGTCGACGCAGCCTGTCTCTTCAGCTATCCTCCCCCTTATTCCTCACCACCTCCCCCCACCCCCACCTCTAAGCAACCACTAGTCTACTTTCTATCTCTATAGATTTGCCTATTCTGGATATTTCATATAAATGGAGTCATATAATATGTGGTCTTTTGTAAATGGCTTTTTTCACTTAGTATAGTGTTTTCAAGGTTCATCCATGTTGTAGCATGTATCAGTACTTCATTCCTTTTTATGGCTTAATAATATACCACATTTTGTTTATGCATTCATCAGCTGATGGACACTTGAGTTGTTTCCACCTTGTGCATTTTGTGAATAATGCTGCAATAAACATACATGTTCAAGTGTTTGTGTTGACATATATTTTCTTGGATATATACCTAGGAGTAGAATTACTGGGTCATGTGGAAAAAAGCCTGTTTTCTTATTGTCTCGATAAGAATATGTGTGTGTGTCTGTATACGTTAATACCATTTTATTGAGTATTTTAATTTTATGTACTCTCCTTAATTACTATTTGGAAGGAAAGCCTTATCTTAACACTAAAGAGAAGTAGATAAAAAGTTTTTATTGCAAAACAATTCCTTTTAAAAATAATTATATGTTGTTATATCTGTATTTAAGAAAAATTTCAGGCTGGTACAGAATGCTGTGTTCTTTGCTCCTTTGTGAATGTCTGTTGCTGATAGCTGGCTATGCTCATGATGATGACTGGATTGACCCCACAGACATGCTTAACTATGATGCCGCTTCAGGAACAATGAGGAAATCTCCTCAGGTACTAAAAAAAATGTGTGTATGTAAGACTTTATCAGTTCTATGGTGGAAATAGTCTACTTTTCTTGTTTTACACAGAACTATAAGAGTCATGGAGTCATAGTCATGGAGCCCTGGTAGCACGGTGGTTAAGAACACGGCTGCTAACCAAAAGGTGGGCAGTTCGAGTCCACCAGCCGCTCCGTGGAAACCCTGTGGGGCAGTTCTACTCTGTCCTATAGGGTTGCTGTGAGTGGGAGTCAACTTGACAGCAGTGGGTTTTTATGAGATTCATGTATCAATGATTAGCAATCATGCACAATATCTTCCTAGCTCTGATAGTCTAGATTATTTCAAACCCACCAGGTTATTTCTGTTTCAAATTTGAATATAAAACGCACCAACCAGCAAACTAATAGCATTTTTGTCCTTAGGTATTATATAAATCAGACTTTTTTGATGGTTTAATACAGTTGAAGAATACAGTGAGCAAAGTCATAAATTTTAGTCTTCGGTAAGTAAAAGTTATTTTTACAACTGCACTATAAAGAAATAAAATTGTCTTTATTTTATTTTAGGCGAACTATGATGTAGCAGAGAAAAAGGATGTCAGTCCTGACTTGTCACATGCTGACGAAATGTCTGAATGTTACCGCAGGCTTGATTCTTTAACTCATAAGGTTAGATTTTTTTCATTCATAAGTTTTATGTCATAATATTTATATTATGTTAAATTGCTCTGTTTTCTTGTCTTTGCAAACACCACTTGTGTTCTTACGTACTATATACTTAAAAATCATATATATACATACGTTAAATGTTTCTTTACTTACTCTAGCACTGTTTTTTTTCCCTTTAAATTTTATTTATTTTGTTGTTGTTGTTGAGAACATACATAGCAAAACATATACCAATTCAACAATTTCTGCACGTACCATTTAGTGACATTGATTACATGCTTCGAGTTGTGTAGCCATTCTCACCCTCCTTTTCTGAGTTGTTCCTCCCTCATTAACATAAACTCACTGCGCCCTAAGATTCCCATCCAATCTTTCGAGTTGCTGTTGTCAGTTTGATCCCATACAGATAGTTCTTAAAAGAGCATAATGCTCAACACAGACCTTTTTTACTAGTTAAGCTCAATGATTGCTCAGTTTAAAGAAGACTTCAGGGGATATTTTTGGTTCAAGATTCAAAGATTATCTCAGGGCAGTAGTTTCAGGGGTTCATCCACCCTCCATGGCTCCAGAAAGTCTAGAGTCCATGAGAATTTGAAACTCTGTTCTGCGTTTTTCCTCTTTTGATCAGGATTCTTTTATGGAATATTTGATCAAAATGTTCAGTAATGGTAGCCAGGCATCATCCAGTTCTTCTGGTCTCATGGCAAGGGAAGCAGTTGTTCATGGAAGCAGTTAGCCACATATTCCATACCCTCCATCTATTCCTGATTCTCCTTCTTCCTCTGTTGCTCCAGGTGAATAGAGACCAATTGTTTTGTGTTGGATGACTTCTTGCAAGCTTTTAAGACCCCAGGCACTATGCAATGAACTAGGAGGTAGAACAGAAGCACTAAATATGTTATTAGGCCAGTTAACTGGGGTATCCCATGAAACCATGACCCTAAACCTCCAAATCAGGGAACCAAATCCCATGAGGTGTTTGACTGTACATAAGCAGCCTCAGCAGCTACTCTTTTACTTTTTGTTGTCATTGTAAATATGTCTATTACACAACTTTTGCGAATTCAACTTTTTACAGGCGTACATCTTATTGACAGCAATTACAATAATTGGCTGTGCAACCCTACCCTTAATCAATGTGATTTTCCCTAGCCTTGTTTTTTTTTTTTTTTT